GTTCATGCAGGTTTCCACTCACCCTAAATACGAAGACGTTGACAAATTTGTGATTCTCTTCTCATCAGGTGACGTCAAGTTACTCAGACATGTGCTCTTTTCTAGAGCCTATGGCGAGGTTAATAAGAGGAAATTGCTTTATTGACTTTTTTCATTATGAAGAAAAAGACGACATGGTGGTAGAGCATAAAGAAAATCTTGCTGTTAGCATGCATAAATATACAGATTTCTATCCCTTTAGGCCGTGCGTTTTCATGGGTTTTTCAGTTTCATGTCCAAACAAACCCTTGGAAGTTTTACGAGTTACTTACAATAGTAAGTCTGACATGAGGAAACCGCCCAAAGTTTGTAAGAATGGTAACTGGGTTTCTAATAAATGAAAACTAACAAACAAACTTTAACCTACAACTTTTGACTTGGTTGTAGAATGGCGTATTATTTTGTCACTAGTTAATAAGTTTTGTTTTTACAGGAAGTTCTTGATTTTATCTTGATCTACCGGTTTGCACCATTTTTCGTTCTTGATTTTAACTTGATCTACCGGTTTTGCACCATTTTTAAATTACCTGTCTGTATATGTGACTTTTCCAACACGTGTAGTTCAGTGGAGTCGCGAGTAAGGAGTTAAGTTTCAAGTTTCAAGTATTTCCTATTCGATTAGGGAAAATTTTTATTCGATCAATGAACGCCAATCGAGTTTATAAAATTGTTAATCAGCCAAAGACTAGTTCTAAGTGAGGTTTTGGGAGTATAAAAGTCATTAAAGAGATCATATTCATATCTAGGCTTAGTTTTAAAGAGACTGACAGGTAATCTGTCCCGAGGAAAATTAATCGAGTGTTGCATGGTTCATGCTGAAAGGGAAGCGGGGCAGTGAATGAATAATGTATGGTCAGGAAGGCTGGGTGTGGCGACAAGCGTAAACAGCGGGACAGTTGAGGAAAAAAAAAATATGAAGGAGTGGGGACCCTTCCTTGAAACCCGCGGATTTTCTCTGACCCTTTCTTTCGTTTGGGTCTGCTGACTTTTTGAGAGCCTGCCACTGGCTCTTTTCAGGTCGTCTTTTTGTTTACATATGCACTGGGAAAACCAAAATTTTTAGTGGTTGGGGTGAGATTTCAATACAGCCTCGTGCCTCTGAAGAATAGCACTGAGAAAAATTGGAGAGGGATCACAAAATGTGAAACATATAGAGTCCTATTCCTTTAAGGAAAATCCAGTAAGCTGATGAGGCTTATCATGAGATGTGATGAACTCATGAGCTTGTGGAAACGTTTACTTTACCTACTCCTCTCCTGTAATTTCTTTTCATAATTTTCCCCAATTTGCTCGAGCAGATTTTCCGAGAGTTCGGTATACTAGCACATTTCACCATTTCTGATATTTTGTGGAAGGCTAAGTAATATCCATTAAATAAACATTGCAAAGACTTTCTTTCAAGGAAGCATATCTTATATCTTCAATCAAATGCCTCATCGAGTGCGCATCATTTTGTGATTTCGTGTATTTTTCATCATTAAATGTTCTGATAGTCCTCTTGCAAGACTCAAAAGAAAGACCAAAGATTTCAAAGGTAAAGTTTTCTTCTTGAGTGCTCTCAACGCATGTACTCCTTGAGATTAATCTATCTAGTTTTATGTGTAAAAATTGCCAAAATTGTCTTCTTCCTGCCATTAATAGATAGAGAGAAATACAAAAGCTGACTAAGAACTCGAAATTTCTCAAGGAATACCATGTTCTACACAATTCATTCACTATTTTAAAGAATCTTAATTTTCAAAATAGCTTCATTCGGGTCTTATTCAAATCATTTGATTATCATTTATTAAGCCATCATCCCACGGAGGATAACCTATGACATCTAATACTGAATTGTCGCTAAGCATCAGGATGTACCGTGCAAAGTATAAGAAGGTGTTTTGACCAAAATGTCCATTGTCACGATGTTCATCCCGGTAATTTCATGTTTAAAATAAACATTCTGAAGTAAAAATAATTTTCACCCTATGATAAGCAAACTCATTTTCATCGTTAAATACGGATTTCTTATGCAAGAGTAGCTGCAATATACGCGGGGAACAAAGGGATTATCTACTTTTTCTAAATCACTAGGAAAATGGGTTTTTGTAGGCCTCTTGTTTAAACGTCTCTGTCAGCTGTTGTGTGCCCAGTGGTGTCGCTATTTACAGATCAGTGTAATGGCTTTGTAATAAAACTAAGGAAATTTAAAGATCTGATAGGCATCAGAATTAGTGTTGAGTAAAACAACAACGTTATCTAGAATCAATGGCTGGGTCTTGCAAAGGGAAGCAAAAAAAAATTATTTGTGGCCATCACATACCTTAAATTTAATTTTTAGAGCTCTGTATATTTAATTGTTCACAGCCTTGATATACTTTGTGAAAGGAAGTTACATTTTTCTTATGTCAAAAACTTGAAGGTCATGGTTTTCTTAAAATTCTCTTCCGACTTGAGCTTTGAACTACCATTTGCCAAAATAGCCATTTATACTCTAGGGGTACCTTCTGAGAGGTTGCTGGTAAATGTGGTTGTAAACTAGGTTCTATTTCTTTGAAATGGTCACTGATTTTTTCGGTAAATCTTGCAGTAGATTGTGTTTGCATTGTATGATTTATCTCAAGAAAATGGTGTTTGATCTTCCGCACGAAAAATCACGGACCCTTACGTCTGCCATTAAATTGCGAAGCCAAATGTCGCCATCGTTGTTTGCTAGTGATGTTAACGTGCGGTAATTGCTCACTAAATATTGAGGTTGCTTGACGCTGATCACGAAATTTAATTTCAGGGAGTTCACAAATAATATTCTTTCTTATGCACGAAAAGAGCAGTGAGCACATCATACGTTCCCTGATAAATGAATGTAAGCAATTTCTCGATTTTCCTACAATCAACATGGAGCCTGCCTGTGTGAATAGAGGGAAGTGGGGGGGAGGGTACTCCTTCCAATATCTCTTTAAAAATGTGCTATCATTTTTACACAAAAGGAGAGGAAATTGTATGTTTTCAATAAAAACAACGGAAATTATCGCGTAGGATGATTTGAATTAAAAGTAACAATCTCTTACATCTCTCATTTTTTACGCTGCCATTCCACTTCTCGAGAGACCTATCGCATTTCGAACGTTTTGCTGATAAAAATCTTACTTGAGGAAATTAAAGTTTTTATGACTTGGTATAAATATCACTCACTTTCATGTCGTAGACGGAAGGGAAAACTTTAATCGCCCTTTCTTGATATTCGTCACTCCTGAGGAAAAAGAAGGTAAGTTCAAATGAGGCTAGAGCTTTTATCTCGTAATTCTGGAAAAACTAGATGTTAGATACCAATCGTATACTTTGACTGATTCCAAATTCGAACTTCATCGATGTTATGAAATAATGCTGGATCATCTGTGCCTCAGCTTACAATTTTCGTGTTAGTGTGGCAGTTTGGAAAAGAGCCATTCTCGCGCGAGCCAAGAGTAAAGGCGGAGCCCTACAATTAAGAAAATAATGTGAAAGAAAGCCACCTGTTTAGTGACGAAAAATAAGGATGGATAATAATTTCATCAGCGTAAGATTAAAAACACACATACACTCATAAAGAGTCTAATATTGTTAATTTTTTGACCAAAGGACAATTTCTAGTCAATTCATACCGTAAGCTTTCAAATGAGAAGTTATCTTTCTAAAAATGCAAAATCGCCATTTGCAGAATCCGTTCTTAAACTGATTTGAGAACCACAAGTTCTGTAAAATAGTAAATTCAGAGTTAAGGCTTCATATTTTAACGTTGATCCAATTTATATATTCGCCATTAAATAACCTATCAACCTTTTCAGAGAAAGAGTGCACTTGTTCATTTTCCTTTCTAGGTAAAGGAGGACTCAGTATCTTTGGAAATGACTTCGATATTGTGGTTGGCGTTTTTCAGTGAGTACAATTTTTACGAGACGTACAACTCCTAAGTTATAGTTACACCACTAAACACCTAGTAAATGCTTTTACTTCCTTAATTTGTCTCTTCCATCTTTATTTCCTTCAGCCGTTTCCTTTCTTTTTATTTTGCCTTTCTAAATTAATGCTTTCTGTTTCCTATCCTATCAAGGTATAATCCATTTTACTGCTGCTGGAAATATCTGTCGGACAGATTGCGAAGTTCAGTTTGTACCGAAAGGATGTTACAAAGATAATGGAGTAAGAGCTTATTCATTTTCATTTAAAAAAAATATCAAAATAAATGATTGGAAAAAGTTCAGTTGTAGCGTAGGAATTTATGAAATGCCGGAGCCAGATTTAAGAATGTGAACTAAATGTTATATGACCTGTACTAATTTAGTAAAAGTGAAGCGTGCGAAATTAAGCACATGAGCATTCAATAGGAAAATTGTTGATTTGAAATAATAATGTTGTATTGTCATTTTTGTTTTATTCGTACCTTCTTCCACTTTTATCCCACAAATCATTAAAGTTGCAAAGTGATACACTTGTTCTTCCTGACATGATTAAAACAAATACCTTGGTCGCTTGCAACCAGTGGAAGAAGCATTTGGCGGAATACTGCTAAACTAACTTTTCCAACAAAGTCCCTGGATTCAAAATTTCAAAGCCAATTCAGAAGCCCTTCTCACTTTCCATCCTGCTTCCTTCGCTTGAGTCCTGTTATTCAACTGTTTGTTTGAAAAATAAACATTGAGTAAGTGGTCGGAAGGGGAAGGCGAGTATGCCAATACAGCCTGGGAACAAAACACCCAGGTTTCAAAGCATTTTACCATTGGCTGTAAGTGTAGTTTTAAAACAATCCAATCCTCAACTGGTGAGGATTGGATCCTCAAGTGTTTAGTTTTCAGGAGGTTTCAGTCAAATGAATTAATAAATGCAAAGCAAAATTTCTTTCAAATCTAATCAACAGAGAAATCGAGCGCTGCCTAATTACATCTACAACGAGCGGGATCCACGGGCCAAGAAAACCTATGGTGGCAGAAGAATTGATTGGTACAACTGGAATGAGTATTATCCCGGCTTTGCGTGTCGATGTGCAGAAAAAGCTAAGGCTCAAGGATACGACCTTTTTGGTGTTCAGTTTTACGGTGAGATTTAAATTGAACTTCTTCCATTTATGATGTAATACAGCAAACCTTTAATTATTTCTTTAGTTTATCATTTGTCATTATACAGCGCTCTGTGTCGAGGAAGAGGCCGGCTCTTTAAGTTTTTTTTTATACGCTGAATCCTTACTTTTTGTCCTTAGGAGAATGTTGGGCTGGACATAGTGGAAAAAACAACTATTTAAAGTATGGCGAAGATGTGAAAGGATGTATTGAGGACAGTTTCTTGACATGCACTCCATATAGCCGTTACTGTGTGGGTAAACAGTGGCGCAATATGGTATATCAAATTGGTAAGTTTAGGTTTACTTCCTGGCCATATTTTGGAAAGACAAGAGTCAGAAGGTTGTAACCCATGAACCGAGACCGAGCTGCACGGGAGACTCAAACAAAGACGGTGGAGAAAAAAGGTTTAAATTAAAAAGAAACTACTGGAATTTGGCAGAAAAAGTAGAAGATTTACGCCATGTAGACTCTTCATATTTACGCGTTTTCATCACCTACGCTATGTTTGTTGAATCAAAACGAAAATCAAACCCCAAAGAGGGGCGGGGTGACGGGTGCCTCTAGACCTCCCAGATAAGCCCTTTATTGATATCACCTCATTTATTTTGTGTTTGTTTTTTCTGATATCACAGTGGATGCTACATGCCCTAAGATCAACTTCGAAAGGGTTGGCTGCTTCGGAGATAAACACCAACCATTCGCAAGACCACTACCAGACTATCTTTTCAACGACAGGGATCCTAGCATTGATAACTTCAGCGGAAGGAGAATCGATTGGCGAGCCTGGGATATTTATTTACCAGAATTCGCTTGTAGATGTGCCGAGGCGGCGAAGAAAGCAAATCACACTTTCTTTGGAGTGCAGTTCTACGGTAAGTGTAAGAAACCTTGCATTGGAGTTTTATTCACAGCGGTACTGGCTTATGCTGCATAGGTTGCGGTCAAAACGTTAGCGAGAAGCGTCTATGACAAACCCTCAACCTGAAATCTTACCTCAGAGGCCAAATCACATGTCCTAGTGATTTATGCGTTCATCGAGGATTATTCTTTTGACCTCATGAATTAATCTCAGCTTCCAAACTTTTAACCGTAGTCTTGACTTGACAATTCTCTATGCTTGTGCTGTTTGTGTTAAATTCGTTGTCTTTGTCTCAAAGGAGAGTGCTGGAGTGGCCTCAACAGCCATATGACCTACGACATCGATGGCCCACGACAAGGTGGCTGTATCAACCCGTGTTACCAGCCCTGTGCCCAACACAACAAGTTCTGTGCCGGAAGAAACTTTGAAAACTTTGTGTATAGAATAGGTAAGAACTTAGAGAACAAAAAAACAATGCAGTTTTGCTTCCCATCATCATAAAGGATGTATACCAATTTATTAAGGGGGTAAGTTTCTAACGAAACTGTGGTGCTGCGTTGGTGGGAGAGTATAGCAGGAAATTTAGTGTTAACAACTGGGTTGAAAACGTAAATTGGCTACCGTCACGGTAAAGGGTAAAAAAGCTGACGTTTCGAGCGTTAGCCCTTCGTCAGAGCGTTCGTATACCAATTTATTACCTACCGTGGTCTGGATCCCAAAGGGTAACAGAACCCTTCTAGAATTATCTTGAAATGAGCCATAAATTTTAATGCAAGCACCATCATTTTCTAATACTTAGGAACCCCTCTGCACTTACGCGACATAGCTAAATGGTGGGAACGCGCGGTTCACAAACAGCTATTACTTTGTTTGGCGTAAAACTCATCATCTAAATCAACAAACCCTTTTCGAACAGATCACAATAGCATGAAAAAAAAAGGACTAAGTTTATGTCACGCTAAAATATTCGCGACAGATGAAGGAAAATGTCCTGAGGTTAAGAGGGTCCAGGAGGGCTGTTCGAAGCTGAGTTTAAAGGGCTGAGATAGAATTCTATGGTTCCTTCTGCATACTTCTCATTTACAACTGACGCATGCGTGCTAATTAAGGCGCCCAGAAGACGTTTTCGATGACCAATTTTCCTTACTTGATTGTGTACAAAAGAAGCGTTTCCGAAGTTTATGTAGCAATAAATTTGCTTATTAGTTTTCGAACCAGTTCGTTTTTTGCGGCAATGAAAACTGAAGGTTATTTCACGTGCATGATTTACCATCTGAAAGTGTCTTACAGGGATCAAATATCTGCGCATGTACTGGTATGCTCGAAGAAAGCAGGAATTAAAAGGAGTTTTCGCCCCCAGTACTTTTAAGAATTATTTACCACCACTTACTCACGCTTGTCATCAATTCTCCCTTTTTATTCGAGAATGATAAAATGTATTCATTCTTGTCCGTTCGTTTATCTCGCTGATTAAACTTTGCTTTGTTGGCTCTTTCGATTAAGCAACTGTTATCATGGCTTCTTTTATTATTCATAAAAATTTCAATTTACTTTCTTTATCATCTTCTAGTGGACGGTTCATGTGAAGTAGATATCAGCCCCGTAGGTTGTTACAAAGAAGACTCTGCGATTCCCGCCATGGGAGAAATCTTTCACAACGAAGCTGCACCAGATAAGCCAAACTTTGTCGGAAATATGATCCAGTCTGTTGATAATTATGAAGCTTACTTCCCAGATTTCCTATGCAAGTGCGCCAGGAAGGCAAGAGAAAACGGCTGGGAGTATTTTGGAGTCAGAGAACTGGGTAGGGAAATAGGAAAAATATCTGATGGTTTTCTTGTTGGAGAAGTAACGATTTCGTGACTCGTCAATGCCGGCGCTACATGTTTGCGAGGGAAAGGGTTAGAGCTACTTCCGACACCAGCGTGAAATTCGCAACGTGGGATTGGAAACGATAAGCCTAGCCTTTTCGAAAACGGTGCTCGATCTCTGATTGGCTTTCAGTGATCATTACTTCGTTTTGATTGGCCATAGTAATTATTGGTTAAGTTTTATATACCTGGATCAAATTTCTTTATTTTCCCCTGCGTTAATTTTATTTTTTTGTAGGAATATGCGTACGAGGGAATCCCCCATCGAATTACGCCCGACACGGACCGTCCCAGCAGTGTTTTGTGGGAAATAGTTCCATAGCTTGTCCAAACGGTTCCAAATTATGCAGTGGCTTAAATTCAGAGGCTAACTACGTATACAAAGTAACCCTTCCAGGTGGGTGCAAAGTGTCCCTGGAATTTCCATCAGTCTATGATGTTATTCTGTTCCGAGTCTGCCTCTGTAAGCTATACAAATCTTATCTACAATATTATTTCTTTAGTTTCTTTCGCGTACAGTTTTTGCTATTTTGTTGTATCAAATTACGAGATGATCGAGTCAAGTATTCGTAATTACATTATTTTGCCGTTTTAGTCACTTTGAAAACAACTCTTTCCACCTGTCTCAAGAAGATTTCCAACCTCTGATTTTCTCTATCTTCATCATAGGCAGCGAGTCTCGGTAGTTTAGATCACAGCGTGATTTTCGTCAATTTTTTAATTTTCTTTTTAAATCTTAGCCTCCATTTCTTTAAATCTCTGCATCTGAATCTAATTTTGGTCGCTAATCTTTCAAAAATTTTCTATCTTACACTGTTAAGGCGAGAATGACAAGCTCGTCTGATATCGGATCATTTGAAGACTCGCGGGTTGGGATTGAAGTCCAAAAGAAAATTGAGCCGGCAAAATTTATTCAAAACAGAATTAAAGTCATGCATTAAGCTTTCAAAATTTTTACCCAACAGGAGAGACCCCAGTAAGAGACGTGGCTCAAGATATTCCAGATGAACGTCCTAAGGCCGTCCCACCGCCGATCTTTATGCGAAGCCAAAGGCACCCCAAAGCAAAAGCTCACCTATATGGAAAAAGGCTTTTGTGAGGCCTAAGTGTCTCAACACGCGAAACGGACCTACGGGAGCTTATCAATTGATTAAAGAATGTACGTCAAAAACAAAGACTTCGACAACGAATAGCTAGCCTTCTTTTAACTTAAAGCTGATGTAAAGGAGTTACGAGCAACAAGTTAAATGTAACGAGTAATGGGTGTATATTAAATTATAAAAATTCAGTCTTGAGCTCTTGAGCACTATCGCTTTGTAGTAACGAACTGATCTTTCGAATGGATTATTTGAGTTACTTTTTTGTCGCTTGGCGGCTTTCGCTTCTTTGGTACCAGCTAAAAGCCCCGAGATTTTAAAGAGCCATTTCCAAGATCTCTCTTTTCTCTTGAAAAATGCGCTATGAATTTTAAATTTCAATCGGTAGCTGAGCAAATTAATGCACTTGTTCATAAGTCTTGGAGAATGCTTTGAACCAGATGGCAATGGATTCAAGATGAGAGAAAATAACGTTCGACAATTTTTGCCAAAAATTTGGTTTTATCAACCGAATTGATAAATGTAAACTAGCCACCGTTGAGAAATCTGAGCTGACGTGTCTAGCGTTAGCCCTTCGTCAGAGCGTAAGATAAAGGCTAACGCTCGAAGCATCAGCTTTACGGTGGCCAATTTACATTATCAACTAAGTTGATAAAACTAAATCATCTTACCACGGTGGTACCCTCCGGCGACCGAGCACCATAAACTTACCCTCTATGTTCAATTGTTTCAAACAACATTCTTCTAAAAGCTGGTAAAGTTTCCTTTTTTCTGAAATAACCCAACATTTCCGACCCAAATTTTAATGACGAAGCCGATTCTACTGATTCTAGGACTAGGACAAGAAAAACTTTGACTCCTAAGAGATTGAAGGGCCTTTTAGAATTGATACACAATTTTCAGTTTACATAAAGTATCTACTAAACGTGTTAGAAGCGCTGGCTCAAGGATATCCCTGGTATAGGAAAATTATCTAATAAAAAGCACGTATTATTAGCTTACTGGGAAGACGCGCGTACGATTACCTTTTTACATGGAAATGAAGGAAATGCCTTTTATATCAACGCGTGCGAAATCCATGCAAAGATACACAAGTCGCCAAGATAAATATCTGACAAGACTTAAGGCGAATCCCTTTCATAAAACGAAGAATCCACAGGTAGGTTCGTAAAATTATCTTTCGAAGATTGTTCTTTTTTTTATTGATCTTTGATATTTGTGCTGGCCACTCATGGTAAGGCCTCACAGAATTGGAAGGATATTGGTAAGGATTAATGAATTATGTATCAGAAGTCGAGTCATAGACGGAAGATGATAATGATAATAATAATAATAATAATATTAATAATAACAATTATGATAATGATACGTCATTTATTTAGCGCGATTTTTAGTCATTTCCAATTGCGCTTTTACAATGTATATTATAATGTGAAACACTGAAAAATAATTTCATGTACAGTAATCATGTACATGTAATCACAAAAAATAAGTTTCTTTAGACTTGTAAGCCAACTCACTCTCACCCAGGTGAAAGGTTTATATAGACCATTTTTCCTAGATGGGCACATGTCAGCTTTTCAGTTTAATGATTGGATATCACAATGAAAATCTGCCCATCAGAATCTGCTTTTGATTAAAATGTTTTTTATTGTGATGCTTTTAAGGGAATCATTGAAATGATGACCAGTGAAAATCCATTGGCATTTGATCTGCTAAAGGAGAAGGTATTTAACTATATCCGATGATGTTTAGTATGCATTTGACTTTTAACTGGTATATAAATTTGGACTATCAGTCTTCTTTTGATCTTTGTGCATAGAAGAGAGAGAATAAAAAGTTTTGAAAATACAGGTCCTTGAAACTGGTGAATGGACTAAAGACACTGAATGTTGATGTGAAATTCTTGGCTGCAAACTTGACAGAAAACTGTACAGTTTTTCTCATCAATGCTTTAACTTTTACATGAAATGACTCTTAAAGTATGACTTAAGAGTATATCACATGTATGAGATGCTGTCTCTAAAATATGTGAAATACTTTTCATTATTTGTCATTTAAATATGTGTAACTATAATAAGCTTTCTGATTAACTTTAGTTGTATGACTCCAAATGTGACATTTGTTATTAGTTTTACAGTCACTGTGTGAAAATGTATTTCATGAAAACATGAGCAGACTGAGTTTTTTTTCAGTTAGAGGAAAAGGAATCATATAATATACTTCAAGAACATACACAATATTTTTGCTGTGAAGGATTAGAAAGGCAAGGCACCTTTTTGAATACTCAACTGACTTTTTAAGTTCAGTTTAAAGTAATTGTTCTTTCTGGTTTGACTTAAATACTTTTACTGGTAGTTTGGATAAAAAATTATATGATTATGTGGAGAAGAATGTTTCTGAAATGTTTCTGAATCTCTTGTATAAAGTTTTAGAGAAGCAATAGCAGACTTTTTAAACCATTACATGAAACCTGTGGAGCCTATTCTTGCAGAGAATGTATGTATTACAAATTATCTCATTTTACATTTTCTTAATATGTTTTTCAAGTCAGAAAGGAAAACTAAATAAAAGCACATTAACGAACGTCGATGGTCATCTTGGTAAAGGTCACTCAGCAGACTGGCTGATTTCCACTATATTTTTGACAGTTAAACAAAGAATTATCCATTTTTTGAATATTAAAGCTGGAACAGAAATTGGGTTAACAAATTGAGAAATTTGAAAGCATGATTAAATTTATCATTGAACTCGATCAAGGCCAAATCATTTTATTGACAACAACTTAATAAAAAGAAATATCATGAAAGTTACACTTATGACAGGATTTCAATGCATATATATGTTATATAACTGTACCTATTAAGGTCACTGATTGCTTATGAAAAGACTTAGTCCCAATTTAAAGAAGATTTGTGTTATCTCTGTCTTCAGTTGATTGTTTCCAATGGATGTACACCAATACTGGATTCGTTAGGATATGTAATTGCTGATGCAGGAGGTAAGTACAACTGTGTGTGTGTGTGTGTGACTTTAACCCTCTAACTCCCAAGATCTGATTGTTAATTCTCCCCTCTCACTGCTACATATTTCCTATTAAATTGGTAACGAGAATTTGATGTTAGATCAAGATTAAACAACTACCTGATAAGTTTGAGTATTCTCATTACCTGTTTGCAAAATACTATATATGATTGGATATAATATAGGGAGAGGTTACATGTTAATCACTTCTGGGAGTTAAAGGGTTAAGAATTTTCGGAAAATAACTTTACCACAAGGAATTTACCTGTGGATCCTTATGTGCAAGATTTGAATATTGATTGGAAATATTGTACAGGACTGTTTCTTTTAGAACACACATGTCTGGCAAAGTCTTCCATTTTAGTCCAACAAAATTTTGTTTGCAAGCAGTTATTTTTTTCTCTTTAAAAACCCAGAGGTAACCCAAAAGGAATTTTTCCAAATAATATCATTACATTTTCAAGCAGGAAGGTAATGAGAAAAAGGAAAAATATCAATAGGGAGATATTCTTTGATTTAAAATTAAACTTTCAGTTCTCAATTTTTGAGGAAAGTATATGAGCAGTGCAGAGAATTTGTATTTTCATCTTGGGAGTGAAGTGCTCTATAATGATGTATATATTTCTGGATAGCAATTAGGATTTCATGGGACATGAACCTAATACATTTTCCAATGACCAATTGTTAGTTGCAGCTTTGACTTGTATGCTGTGTATTGTGTGTTTTTGTTTCTCTATGTCAATGCATTAGAGGGTTTGTTGATCCCTTCTCCATTTTATGGATCGTTTACACTGGATTTTCAAACAAGATCAAGGGTGATACCTTTTCCAGTTCCACTTTCCAGTGAGGTTAGTATACTCCTATATACTGAAACTGGTATACCTACATCTTATCTTTATCTTGTCTTCTAAATTTCATTTGTGGGGAATTCTAATTGCATGGCATTGATCTCTATTTTATTTGGCATAATCTCAGTTTGATTGTATGCCAATTGTAGATTGGTCCTGGAGAGACTCAGCCATTTGAACTTACTGTAGCAAGACTAGAATGTGCTTTGAAGAAGGCAACAGAGCAGGTATTGTCATACATACTGATCCTAACTTTTGTGGGAGTTTTAGAGTTTTGGAAACAAGAGTGTTAACCCTTAATTTCATTTTACAATATCACCCCTGAATCACACATTAACCCTTTAACTCCCAGATCAAATTTGTAATTCTCCTAACTGTCAACCATACATTTCTTCTAATGTTAGTTCAGAGAATTTAGTATTGGATCAACTAACCATCCCCAAATTGATATTTTTCTCGATTCTCATTCCTCATCTGTTTGATTTTGTATTGATACTGCCAGGAGAAATTATGTCTTGGTCACTCTTGGGAGCTAAAGGGTTATGGTCATAAGAATAAAGGAAATGATTGCCAACTAAAGAAGCTCTTGATTGTTAAACAAATTCTCCTAGTCATCACCCTAGGAAGTCTAGAGTGTAGTAAGGAGAATATGCATACAGATGTCAGGCTGTGAAGGGTTAACCAACTCCATATTTTGCACAGAGCCTGTTTCAGGGTGCTGCCTCATTATTAAGGAACTCTGCAAGGACAGGGAATGATGCGAAAGAGATAAACTTCACAAATAGGGAACTTTGGGCATGTTGAATTGAAATGAGTTTTCTGCTACCACCCCTGTAATACTATCCATTTAAGGATACCTTTGTTTCAAATATTTACTTTTTTCATAGGGTGTAAAAATCCGTGGTTTACTACTGTGTAACCCAAACAATCCACTGAGCACTACATATTCTGAAGAACTCTTACAAGATTGTTTAAAGTTTGCAGCAAGGTGTGAGATAGTATGGGAACATCACTGTATTTCGTTGCATGAACAGGGTTACATCAATCAATTGAATTGTGCTTACAGAAAGTTTGGTTAAAAATGCAGTGTATTACATATCATAAAGTACATTCATTCCTTACGGATTTCTCTGAAATGTCGAAAGTGAGAAGGAACAAGTGAACATAGCTTACAATTTCATATTACAGATAAAGATCCTGACTTAAAATGGATGAATATCCCATACATGTAGCTTAATTGTTTAAGATTCCTAGTTAAGCCCTGGTTGATTATTCTCAATGTGATTAAATTATTAAACTTTTCAAATATAGAAAAGAAACAAAAAC